TGGCAACTAGTACACAAACGAGAAGGTGTAGCCCATTTTGACATAATAATATCTTTTCTTGAAGAAAGATTTTCTAATGTACGAGACTAGGGATGTCCTAAACGCTGGTGCCAAATAGAGTCTTCTGCCCTGTTCGTTGCTAGTGCTGAGAGAGCATACTGTGCTTCTTCATCTAATGCATAAAGTTGCCCTTTCCTAGATCCTTTGGCAAGAATTTGTTGTGTCTTTGGATCCTTAATAACAAAACCAGTTGATGAGAATTCAAAAATACAAGAGTTATCTTGTGTAAACTTACTAATAGAAATGAGATTCTTTTTTAAATCTGGAACAACCAGAACTTTATTTAAATTTAATGGACCAACATAAGCTGATCCCACGTGAGAAATAGTAAGGGGTGTACCATCACCTATGTATACCTTCCTGTTTCTGTTATAAGGTAGTTTTGAGTAGACATTACCTTTGTCTGAGGTCATCTGGTCACTTGCTGCAGAGTCAGCATAGAAACTCGGATCTTTGCCCTCTGATAAGGATACTACAGCAAGAGCTTGAGGCAAGTCTTCACTTTGATATGCATGGTCAAATCTATACCAGCATTTTATGGCAATGTGACCATAAATTCCACAGATCTGGCAAGTGAACTCTGTGTCTTAGGCTGGTTCTTCTGTTGCAGGTTTCCTTGATATGGCTGGTTGTTATTTGTGACAACTGGTCTATTGTTTCCAGACCAGTGGTTGTTGTAATTGCTTGCTTGTATGAAGCCTCTTCCTCTAGAGTTGAAGCTTCTTCTACCTCTACCTCGATTTCCTCTTCCTCTTTGAACAATAAACACTTGTTCATAGTTTTGGGCTGAATTCTTTTCTTCTTCCTTTTCTGCCTTCAGATCTCGTTCAGTGTTTTTGAGGCCTAAGATGTACTGTCTAAAGGTTGGATATGGAGCTTTAGAGAGAACAACAAGATTATATGGTTGGTAGCGTGACCCAACCACTCTAGACAAATGAAACACCTTATCAAGATCATCAAGAGGCTTGTTAATGGCAGCTAGACTGTCACAGGTATTTTTGAATTTCTTGAGGAATGCTTCAAGAGATTCATTACTTCCTCGTTTAATAGTCAATTGCCCTTTGAGTTGTAGCTCTTGCTCCTTTGTTGAGGCAAGATAATGCTCTTCCAAGCACTTCCAGATCTCGTATGTTGAGTTTGATCCAACGACGAGGCTAAGTGAGTCTTCATTCATGGTTCTGAGAAGCCAACTTGTAAGGAGGCCATCATTGTTTAGCCAAACATTGTATTCTGGATTTTATGTTTCTTCTTTGTCCTTTGAGATAGTTTCTGGTGGTGCATCTTCTTGGATATGATGAAAAAGCTTAGCACTCCTTATGAGAGGATAAACCTGTGACTTCCACAACAGAAAATTTGTATTAGATAATTTGACAGACATTAAGCTCGCCATTTGATGGAAGCTTTGAATGGTGAGTGAAGTCTTGTTCTTTGCCATAGTTGTAGAATTAAAAGAAATGCAGATATTGTAGAACAAAGGATTCAGATATTCAGATGCAGTGATCATACTGCTCTGATACCATGAAAAACTTTAATAAGCCCAAAAGAAGAGAAACTGAGATTGTATATTTCTCTATATTGATATTTGTTCAACATAGGAATATATATACATTACAGCCAACATTCAACTCCTAAATTAGTGCAGTTGGCCTTGATTTACTATAATGGAAAATCATTCTATTAATAATTTTGATTTTGCTATCTCTTGACCGTTGCTTGCTTTCATATTTGATTTCTG